AAAAGGAAGGATCGCTCGGCTGGTCTTCTTTTGCCTCATTCCCGAACGCCTGCTCCTGCTTCTATATCGCTCGACAGAGACCCTCGCCTCCCTGCTTACACTCGGCTGAAGACTCCACCCCATTCGACAGAAACCTCGCTTCGCTCGCCTCTCCTCGGCACGAAGTTGTTTGAAGCTCCCGGCTCGCATCCGCTGCTTGATTCGCCTCACCCGCTCTGCCCCGCTCTGCGAACCGAAGTCGCTCGCCCGCTCCTCCTCTGCGGCAGCTCTAGCCGAAGCTCCTGCTCGCTCCTTGCACCGATTGAAACGCTGCTTCGCCCTTCGCTCAATCGAAGCCATTCGCCTCGCCTCCCGCGATCCTGCGCCTCCTCCGCTCGACCCTGCTCGCCCACTCCTATCTCTCGCGTGCGACGAAGTAGCCGCTCGATCCCCACTCGATTGGCCCTCTTCTTTCTCTCGGCAAAAGCCTGCACCGAAGCCCCCTTCATTCGCTTCCACTCAACATCGACCGAAGAAGCTCCTTTCTTCCTCTGCTCAATCCCCTGTGCCTGTTTCGAACCCCTTTGACGAGCCTTTCTCCCGCCCAGCTTCACTTTTCCTGTTCGGCTTCACCCCTCGATCGAAACTCAACGACACACCTGCAAAGCCTTCGAAACTCCCACAATTCACATGTTTCAGCTCCTGCCCTACTCGAAACCATCGAAGAAGTGCTTCACTGACTCAACAGTGCTTTGTTTTACCTCTTCGTCGCAGGAGATTGGCCTCTTCTAATTCTTCTCTGTTGCAGCTGAAATCTCTTTACACAGTTGCAGGTATATTTCCGGTATATTTCCTGAACTCCCTTTTCCTTTCATTTTTTTTTATTATTTATTTTTAATTAAAAAAAAATCTGTTGTCATTGATCATTGAGTGTATATCGTAAATCTTTCAATTCTTCTTTCTCAACACAAAACAATTTCATCTGCTCTTCTATTGAAACGTGATATAGTTCTTCATTCTAGGAAATCTTTGTTCTGAATCATGTAATTTTGGGAAGGCTTTTGTGATTTATTTTAACAGGACAGATATAACATGGATAAAAGAAATGACTGTAGTTGTATTAATGCAACTTGTAGCGAATGTTCACTGCATTCCATCGGACAAGCATCAAATCATTATTGTATATTCATATGTTTGGCATCGATCTTTGGAGAACTATAAATGCTGCTTTGGCCATACATTCTTACTGATTTTGAAGGACTATAAATAATATTTTGATTATATGTTATTGCTGATTTTAAATGCTTAGTTGTTGGTTTTATGTTTCAAACACTTAAATGCAAATATTGTGAGGTTCCAATGACCATTTACTTGTTGAAACACTCATTACTCATTTGTTGATTGCGTATTTCAAGCTCTCTAAAGGGAATACTATGAGACTCGAGATGACCGTTATTTCAGGGCTTGAATGCTTCTTTGCAGGTCTATGTTCTTCCATTTTCGAATGCCTTCCTTGGGGGCTATTTTAAATGTTGTTTGGTGGATTTAAATGTTGCGATTTTTAGGGCTTTGCCTACTGATTCACATACTATTTTAAAGGCAATTTGTTAACTGATTTTGAAGAGTTTACACACTATTTTGGACTGAATTTCCTAGCTGATTTTGGGATATTTAAAATTGATGTTTTGATCTTACATGAGAGCTGTTTGAGAATTTTAAAATTAATGTTTTAGGGCTGATTTTGAGGCAATCTACACACTATTTTGGCAAAATTTACGTAGCCTTTAAGTGTTGATTTACATGCGGTTTAGAATTTGTTTTACGGATCTCTTTTTGCCCAGTGTTTTGGGTTTCAATTGATTGTTATTTAAACGCTTTTAGGTCGATCCACTCGTTGTTTTCTCCCTTGACTTTACTAGTTTTGGAAGTGGGTCTGCCTCATCCTTCTTTTGTTTTACTCTTTTTTTAAATGGTTAAGTCATAAAGATGAGGATTGATGATTTAATATTTAATTAATTAGAAGGTATAGAAAACCTCAAATCACCTTAAACATAAGTTAAAGTGTAGGTTTCCTAGAACTTTAAGTGCACACCCTAGGTGAGTCTATCAACCTAGTCCTCGGTTCAGGCTTCCTACACTTTAGAAGCACACCATAGGTGAGAGTCTATCAACCTAGTCCTCGGTTTAGGCTTCCTACACTTTAGAAGCACAC